GCATGTGCCCTGACCAGGAATCAAACCAGCAACCCTTTGGTCTGCAGGGGAGCACTCAGTCCACTGAGCCACAGCAGCCAAGGCAACATTTCATATAATGGTTTGGTGATGATGAAATCCTTTAGTTTTTTCTTGTCTTGGAAGCTCTTTAAATGCCCTTTGATTCTAAATGATGGCTTTGCTGGGTAGAGCAATCTTGGCCGTAGGTCTCTGCTTTTCATGACTTTGAATGTTTCTTGCCAGTCCCTTCTGGCCTGCAATGTTTCTTTTGAAAAATCAGCTGACAGTCTCATGGGAGCTCCCCTGTAGGTAGGTAACTGATTTTTCTCTTGCTTTTAAGATCCTCTCTTTATCTCTAACCTTTGGCATTTTAATTATGATTTGTCTTGGAGTGGGCCTGTTTGCCTCCATCTTGTTTGGGATTCTCTGTGCTTCCTGAATTTGCATGTCTATTTCCTTCACCAAATTAGTTTTTTTTTCCCCCATTATTTTTTCAAAGAGATTTTCAATTTCTTACTCTTTCTCTTCTCCTTCTGGCGCCCCTATGATGTCAGAGTTGCAACGCTTGAAGTTGTCCCAGAGGCTGCTTACACCATCCTCGTTTTTTGGTTTTTTTTTTTAGATTTTATTTATTTATCTTTAGAGGGAAAGGGAAGGAGAGAGGGAGAGAAACATCAATGTATGGTTGCCTTTTGTGCGTCCCCTGCTGGGACTTGGACTGCAAGGAACTGGCCTGCAACCCAGGAATGTGCCCTGACCGGGAATCGAACCACGATTGTCTGGTTCGCAGGCCCGCGCTCAATCCACCACTGAGCTACACCAGCCAGGGCTCACTATCCTCGTTTTTTGTTTTTAATTCTTTTTTCTTTTTGTTGTTCTGATTGGTTGTTTTTTGCTTCCTTGAGTTCCAAGTCATTTATTTGATTTTTGGCGTCATCCACTCTACTGTTGTTTTTCTATAAATGGTTCTTTGTTTCAATGAGTGTACCCTTCGTTTCTGACTGGATCTTTTTTATGCTGCTGAGGTCCTCACTAAGTTCCTTGAGCACCCTTATAACCAGTGTTTTATTTATTTTATTTTATTTATTTTTAGAGAGAGAGGAAGGGAAAGAGAGGGAGAGAAACATCAATGTGTGGTCGCCTCTCATGTGGCCCCCACTGGGGATCCAGCTTGCAACCCAGGCATGTGCCCTGACTAGGGATTGAACTGCGACCCTTTGGTTCACAGCCCATGCTCAGTCCACTGAGCTATACCAGCCAGGGCATAACCGGTGTTTTAAACTCTGCATCTGATAGATTGCTTATCTCCATTTCTTAGCTCTTTTTCTGGAGTTTCAATCTGCTCTTTCATTTGGGCCATCTATCTTTGTCTCCTCATTTTGGCAGCCTCCCTGTGTTTCTGTGTATTAAGTAGAGCTGCTTTGACTTTGTGTCTTGATAGTGTGGCCTAATGTAGCAGGTATCCTGTAGGGCCAGGGGCACAGCCACCCCTATCACCCAAATTAGGTACTCAAGGTGTACCATTTGTGTGGGCTGAGTACACCCTCCTCTTGTAGTTGAGCCTTGGTTACTTTTGGCAGATCAATGGGAGGGATTTACCCAGGCTAGTCAGTGGCAAGATTGGCTGTGACCACTGACCACCAATCTCTGCCTTCTGTGGAGGATCACTGTGCCTGGGCAGGGTGGTGGTGCTCCGACATGGTCTGTAGTTGTCTGCTGGCCCTGGGGTTTCCCAGGTGATAGAGGCCAAGTTCAGTCCCCATCTGTGTTTTTCCCAGGGCCCCTCTGCATGAACTGTAAAGCAATCTGAGATGGCTGCTACTTGTGCCGGGCTTAGAGATTCCCAGGGAAGCCAAGCTGTGAATCTGGGCTGGCTGCTGCTGCTAGTGCTGGGTCTGGGGCTCACTGAGGCCAGCTGTTGCTTGTTTGAGAGGACTTAGGGAGCCAAGACCAGCCATTCATATGGAAAAGCAGCTTGGGCGGGCCTGTAGGTCGGGTGGGGATCTCCGAAGCAGGTCAAACAGTGTTAGCCAGGTTGATGGAGTCTCAGGTGTGGCACCAGCTTGCTGACTCTGTGAGGAGAGGGTTTAGCAAATGGACAGTGGCCTCCGCTTGCCTTGATGTCAGACACTTCAGTTTCTCCCTTTCAAGATGCTGCCCCAGTGCTGGAGCTCAGAGGGAGTGAGTCTGAGTGAGTCCATGTGTGGGTCTGTCAGAGGAACTGCTTGGGGCTCCAGTAGTTTCTTCTGCTGACTCAGTCCTACTGGTTTTCACAGCCAGAAGTTGACGGGAATTATCTTCCTGTCACTGGAACCTTGAGCTTGGGGGGGGTGGGGTGGTGGTGTGGGGCTGGGACTCCTCACTCCTGAGATATCCCTCCTGAATTTTTATCCACCACACGTTCAGTGATGGGCCAGCCTGTTCCACATCTGCGCCCCTCCTGGATGGATGTGATGTCTTTGATTCCATAGTTGTCAGACTTCCATTCAACTTGATTATTAATGGTCCTGAGTGATGGTTTTTCTGTATTTTAGTTGTGATTTTGATGTGGTTGTGCGAAGACGTGGGCCATGGCTGCCTGTGCCGCCGTCTTGACTAGAAGTCCCCATTTGGTTGATTCTTATATGTAACTTGACCAGGGATTGAACCCACAACCTTGGCATATGGGGATGACACTCTAACCAACTGAGCTACCCATCCAGGGCCTGATGTATATTTTTAAGAGCTGCCTCTGGTTGCTACCTGGAGAATGTATTGTAGGGAGGCAATGGGAGAAGTGATAGAGGCTTGGACCAGGGTGGTGCTGGGGGCTGGAAAGAAATATTTGGGTTTGAGATGTGTTTTGGAGTTGGTACAGGTGAAGGATTGGTTGTCAGGGAGCATCGAAGTTAACCAAGGAATGTAGGAAGACTTTAAAGTCTCTGGCCCCAGTCATTGGGTGGATGGTGGTGCCATTAACCGAGAAGTGGAGAATGAAGTGGAGAACGGGGGAAGCAAGGTCGGGGGAGGAGTGAAGAGTTGGGTTTTGGCTCTGTACGTGTATCATCTGAGATGTGGTGCCGCGGACTTTGTGGGAGCCCAGGGCTGACACTGCTCCTTCTGCACGCTCTCTCGTCCTAGGTCATGATCTCTTCCAGGAGCCCCCACTGACCCCTGTCGGGAGTGCCCATCCCTGGCCAGAGCCCCCAGCCCCACCCCCAGCTCAGGCCCCAACGCTCCGCCAGGGCTGCTTCTACCTGCTGGTGCTGGTGCCCATCACCTGTGCTCTGCTGCAGCTGTTCACCTGGTCCAAGTTCACGCTGCATGGGAGACACCTGCACGTGGTCAAAGCCCAGCGCCAGAACCTGTCACGAGCCCAGACCCTGGACATTAAGACAGTGTGAGAGGTGCAGCAAGGCCATCCTGATGAGGACACTGCCCATAGCTTTGGGCAAGAGCCACTTTTTCCAGCCTGGTGTTCTGCTCCCCTGCCTTCCTTGGTGCGACCTGGAGGCCAGATGGCAGAATGGGCTCCCCTGGGCCTGAGCCAGGGGTGTCAGTGGGTCTGAGATCTTGGCTGTCTGGCCCAGCTTGGGCAAGGGCTGGGCCAAATTTGCTCAGGGACCTGCTCCCCCCCCTATGGGGCAAGAGTAAGAAAAGAACCAAGAAGGGATGGGGATGCCCTGTGGTCACGTGGGGCTGCCACAGGGAGGGCTATCCCACTACCTGGCTGGGCTGGCACTGCCTGTGGGCTCAGGAACCACTTTTGATATCACACAACTGCCCTCTGTCATTCGGTCGTGGGAAGCTGACTGTACGCCCCACCAGCCCCTCCCTTGACCTTCCCAGTGGGTTCTCTGCTTCAGCAGCACCTGAAGTAGCATGCCCCCACTGCTGCAGTGCTTCCCTACCCCCACGTGGCCCCTGAAAAGATTCCCTTCATCACAGACAGTTAAAGTCATTCTGTTCCCACTCCCAAGGTCTGTGCTGTGTGGGAGTGGTGGGCGAGTAAGATTCCTCAAGTAACACGAAAAGCACTCAGAGGATGTTCCAAAGGTGAGTTGGGAGGCCGCCCACGTCAGATTCATGGCGGTCGCAGGGAGAACCTGTGGACCGGTGACTGCACTGGCACTTGGGAGCAAAAGGCCTCCAGGTAGTAGCCCCAATGCTGGACTTGGTGGTTAAGGAAGAGCGGCTGCTCTTAGGCCAGCAGTCTTCAACCCTGGAGACACCAGGGAACTTTAAAAAATTATGTCTACACCCTGCCCCCAGGATCCTGCTGTCGGGTCTGGGGTATGGCCTGGGCACATGGTTTCTGGAAAGCTCTGCTCTGGTCTAGTGTTTCTTAGCTTTGGCTTAGATGCCAGGAGCACACCTTCCCTCCCTCCCCCGCCCCGTTGTGACAACCAGATTGGTTGTCAGGTATTGGTAAATGTATATGGGTGGCAAAACTGACCTTGACAGAGAACCACTGCTCTGGGCTGATAATTTGTTGAGGGTCCGAATAGTGTCGAAGAATGTAGGCCCTAGGGCTACACTTGAGTTCAAATCCTAGCTAATAAAGGGCAGAGCTTTGGGAATTACGTGACTTCTCTGTGGCTCTACTTCCTCATCTATAAAGTAGGTGATAAAAATACCCCATGTAGGGTCATTGGATCAAATGGGTTAACATTTCTAATGTGCCTAGCAATTTCCCTCCAATTATGGAGAACTGATTAATCTGAGTATCTGAGCATTGGTGCCAGGAACTGCATCTTAATAAGCTCTTGAGCTTCTTATACACATGGAAGTTTTGAGAGACTCTTGACTTCAGGGGTGTCAAATACTGTTGCCCTTATTTGGGAGGATTCTGACCCAAGGACTTAGCAGTAGGGGACTTGAGGGGAGGATGGCCAAGTCTGGCTGATGCAACAGTGCCCTCTAGAGGATGGACTAGGCCCAGTCACCACCTTAGACTCAGGCCCCCCAGCTCTTCCCTCTACCCACCCAGCCCTGACTACAGACAGAGGTCCACCTGACCATCTATTGGAAGGACTTTATTAAGTATACTGGGCCCCACCAGGCAACGTGGTTTGTGCGAGGCTGTGCGAGGGACAGGCTTGGGCTAAAAGAAGGGAGGTGAGCTGGTTAAGCACACTGCAGTCCGCGGTTGCCACACTGCTTTCACACACACCTGCTGCTGTGGCCCATACCTGGCAGGGCCTTTGGTCACTGGACGGCACGGGGAGAATACTGCCTGAATCGGGGATGGGCAGGTCTTGGTGTCAGGTGAGGGTGCCCGTGAACAATTGCTAGCCCCAGCTTTGTACCATCTGGGGTTAAGGGCCTTTGGACCACTGCTAGGCCAACCCAGTCCAGGGTAGGAGCCTGGTCCCACTGGACCAGAGATGAGCCTGAGCCTACCAGCTCCTGGCACCTAGGTCTGGCTTCCTCCCTCCCTAACCAAATGAGCCCAAAGAACGGCACAAAACCAGCCCAGAAGGAGCCTTCTCACCTCTACAGCCTAGCCCCTCAGGTCAGCTAGAGTGGGAAAAGGCAAATTGGCTAATTTCACCTTTCTCTCCAACCCTAATGGGGCTAGATACCCAACACCACTCCTTTGCTAGGGCCTCTGCCAAAGAGCGATTCTGCCTCCTGTTTCAGAAAACCCAAGCAGCAACCGGCCTGTTGACTCCAGGGCAGCGAGCAAGTGGAAGAGGGAGAAAGAGGCTGGCAGAGTGTCTTCGTGTAGCTCAGATCTCACATGGCCTCAGCCCATGGATGCTGTTGTTTCACCAGCAGCAAGGAGGCCCTGGAGGTTACACTAAGCTTAGGTGCTGTAAACATTAGTGTTAAAAGGGTGACCCGTGGGCAGGAGGCAGTGAGCTCCCTCCCTCCAGTCTCTATTTTGAACAAACACTTCAATAAATAAAATTGAAGATGGCATTACCCAAGGACGGATGAAAAGCAAGTAGTGGGGCCTGGAGCCAACAGGCTCCTTAAACTCTCTGGAGAACCCCTTGGATAGGGGCTTGGGGTTGGAACATTAACTCTCCCGCCAATCAGAAGTAGCAGGACTCCTGCCCTCCTCAAATGCCCAGTGTGGTCCTGGCCCCAGGTAGAGTTAAGGGCATCCTGCCCTCTCCTGACCCTGGAGTCTCAGTAACAGCCCTTCTAGCTTCCCAGACCCAAACGGCAATCAAAACTGGGTAGAACTCAACCCCGTTTCCAGTCCTCAGTCCGTGATCAAGAGGCATCGGGAACAGAATGATGAGCAAGGGAGGCAGCAGCGGCTGTGGGCCTCAGGGCACCTGGGGGTGGGGTGGGGGTAGGGCTCGTCCAGCCTGGGAAGGGCAGCAGCAAGGTGTTCCAGGGTTAGGTCTACCTCCCTCTGTGTCCCTAAGGTAGTAAACATAGTCCCACACAGCCAGGCAAAGGCCCGGCAGATGAAGGAGTGGGGCCCTCTGCCAGCATTCTTCCCTGCCAGGGGCCAGCCAGTGGTCAACCCCAGGCCTCAGGCCGTCACCATCATGGGTAGTTCATCGTCCTTTCTGGGCCCTGGGATTCTGGGGCCACATGGCACTCGCATAGGTGCACATACTGGTACCCACGCACACACTCACACACACAGGCAGTTCCTCGCAAACACTCCAACTCAAGAAAGCGAGTTTTAAAGTGGAGTTAACTTCAGAGAAAGGTGAAGATGATGTCCCAGCATTAGAAGGTTTTCCTGTGGATGGATCGGGCGCCGTCTTCCTCATATTCCTTCTTGGAGACCCACATCTTCTTAAAGGTGTCCAGGGAGGCGAGGATAGAGCCCCTGGAGTAGAGGGGACCAAAGGGACACTGTGAGAAAGAGCGCGGGCGTTTGCTTCCCGTTCTACTTATTCCCAGAGGAACCACTCACCCAATCCATGTGGAATACAGTCTCTCCTGAGGTGCTGATATCTGCAAGGATGGGGGAAAGGAGTCTGAGACATGTAGCCTCCCCCTCACTTTCCCTTCCAACCCCCCTCGTCACAGCCAGTTCTCACCACTAAGGCACTGGGTGCGTTTCACACAACAAAGCTGTGTCCCTTTCAGACCCCGGGGCCTCCCCGAGGGTACCGTGGTGAGCCGAACACCTGTCCTGGGAACAGGTTTCTAGCAGCCCTAAGTCTGATTCCCAGAAAGGCTGGGGCTCCCGGGGGCAGAGTTTGGCTCTTTTGGGGGTAAGTGGGAAGCAGACTCCACGGCAGGAACCACGCTCCTTCACTTGGAACCCCTCCTTTCTCAGGCAGGTGGCCCCCTCCATGGTCACTGAGATGCCGGACCGTGTCACAGCGGAGGAGCAAAAGTCAGCCTCGTACCAATGTCACAGTCTCCCTGGAAGACCCCATGTGGGGCCCTCAGCCTGGCCCCCTGCCCCATCTGGGTATTGCGACTGTCCCCCTTTTGTGAAGACTGGCACTCCGGCAGACCTCGGGGTCAGCGTGGAAGTGGGAGCCAACCGGCAGCACCTGTGTAGCCGAGCTGGCGGGGAGCCACACCATATGGCACTTTGGACCCTCCAAGGCCCAGTCCCGCCCCGCCCCGGGCTCCTACCCTGATCTTCACGTCTTTCGGAGCCAGTTTCTTCACTTCACTCAGTAGCCTGTCACCAAAACCTGAATGAGGAGGAACAGAGAAGGTCAAGTCAGTCCTCTGGGCATCTAGGCCTAGCACAATCCAGAAGCTTCCTGGGGCAGGGCCCAAGAGCAAAGACCAACCTTTGAACAGGGTGGAGCCTCCTGAGAGCACGATGTTAGAGAAAAGCGTGCGCCGCAGGTCCATGTCAGACTTCTGGATGGCAAACACCAGCACCTCATGGATGCCCTCACTCTCCTCGCCGATCAGGTCAGGCCTGAACAGGAGCTCAGGTGCCCGGAATCGGGAAGGACCAATCTGCAGGTGGAGGGCAAGCGTCAGAGGCTAGGATAGGGAACGAGGTCACTTTGGGAATGGGGATGGAAGAGGCCCCTCCTAGTAACCGGGTGGCCATGAAGGCCAGGCTCAGGGAAGACCCTGGATGTCAAGGGCTTCCAGAAACAAAGATAGGGTTCCTAGGGACAAATAGGGAACAAAAAGGAACAAACAGGGCTCCCAGGAAACTAGAGAGAGGACACTCCCGTGTTTAATCCTAGCCCAGGCATTTCCCAGCCAGGAGCCCTTTGGCATTAACACAGGGATTCATTCATTCATGGGAACACCTTCCTATCAATGGAGGTCTGGGGAGAGGCATCTAGGCCTATTCTGTGCTCAAGCGGTGAAGGACAGTGCTAACCACCCGCTTCTAACCCTATCCTGACCTAGGAAAGTGCCTCTGGTGCCTGCGCTCCTCCCACACGAGAAGCGAAGCCCTTGCTGGTGGAGACAGTGCTGCTCAAGGGCTCCGCTGCTCACGGCAGGCGCTGGAGGAGGGCTGGGACATCAGACTGCAGCTCACCACTGGGGCTCTGTTTGGGCCCAGAGCTTTTGGGGGCCAGAGGGCACTGATGGGAGAGGTCCAGTCACTCACCTCGATGGTGCTGCCGTCAGGCAGGTAGTACTGAGCCTTCTCCGTCTCTAGCGTCTCATCCTTCTGGGGATTTATGGACAGGTAGCAGGCTCTCTGCGGAACCAAGCGTGACTCAGGCAGGCAGGGACCCTGGCACCTACCCGTCAGAGTCCCCGGGGGCTGAGGTGCTGCTGCAGAATCCTGCCCACAGTGGGGATGGCCCTTAAAGGTCATTAGAGCTGCTGCCCCAGAGCAGAGGTGGGGGGTTTCCATTGGCGTTCGCGGGCTGTGTGTCAGGGTGTGAGTCCCGCCTTTCCGGAGGGCGAGTGTGGAAACGTGGCTCTCTGGACCTGGGTCTGAGACCATAGCCTCATGTGAACCCAGACTCAGGCCTCCTATGGTTCTGGGCCCCACCACCCAGCTCACAGGTTAGCCTACAGCCACAGGAGGCAGGAGGCTTCAGTTTACTAAGAAAGAATGTATTCTGAACTCAAAGGTGAGAAGGAACACAGGTAATTGGTACAAGAGGTATGGCAAACAGAATGATTACCATCGCCCAGCTTAGAAATAGAAGCGGCTCTGTCCCCTACAAGATGGTAGCTCTTTGGGAAGGTGAGTCTGCCAGTAGCGGGGCGGGGCGGGGCGGGCCCAGCCGGAGACCTCGCAGCTGGCAGGAGGCCTGGCTGGGAGAGCAGAGCCGGACCCTGGTCCCCAGGACAGAGCTTCACCTCTTCTCGCTCCAGGCCCTGGAGGTCCTGATGCTCTATTCCCACTCCCTATCCCATCCCTGGGCCCAGCGGGCAGCACTCACTTCTTTTATGGCCTTGACAATCTCGAACTCCGAGGATGAATGGAAATCATAGCCCTCCTTACGCAGGTAGAGGCGAAGGAAGCGAGAGACGTCCCGGCCGGCGATGTCGATGCGCATGATTGAGTGAGGCATGGCAAAGCCCTCGTAAATGGGCACAGCGTGGGTGACGCCGTCCCCAGAGTCCAGCACCACCCCCGTGGTCCTGCCTGTGGCATAACTGAAGCAAAGGGGACAGAGCATCACTAACTTCTGCCTCCTCGCTCTGGGGAAAAACTCACTTCTTTTAGAGTTTGGTGTCGGCTGAACAAAAGCTGGGCCTGCCTTTGTCCGGGGCCCTGGACTCCAGGGGCTGAGACCGAGGACGCCTGGGCACTGAAGCCTGGAGAGACCTGAGCAGCAGGAGCCGAGCCCCTCCGAGCTCCCGCCCCACGCCCAGAAGAGCAGGTCTTCCAACCTCAAGAGATGGCCTGGCCTTCAATGGTTTCAGGGACCCAGCCTGAGGGGCAGTTTCACTCTGGAAACGAGGAAAAAACCCAAATGCTTTCAGGGGCTGGGCAGGAAGAGTAAATGAGTAAAGACAGTAAGAATATTTTCACTTCCACCAAAACCCATTTCCCCATGTGACTCTCTAGGTCTGTCCTTGGTTTTGTCTTTTGGTAGAAACAAAAGGACAGACATCACTTCTGTGGCAGGAGGGAGAAAGCCTCACAATATCTGATAAACAGAGGGGACACTGCCTTGCTGCTGGGAGGACAGGGAATGGAGTGTATGTGGTGCAGTCACGCTAGCGGACGCTACCACGGCAGCTGCCACTGCAGCTGGTATTTTGCCCCACAGGAATGCCAAAGGACTGCTTTCCCGGCCAGGGGCCAGGCTGGCCAGCCAGGCTGCTACTCACAGGCTGAGTACAGCTTGCATGGAGATGAAAAGGGCCGGCACATTGAAGGTCTCAAAGAAAACCTCAGCAGCGCGTTCTCGATTTTTCCGCGGGTTCAGAGGTGCCTCTGTCAGGAGCACAGGATGCTGTTGAAAGATGCCCAGACCACAATCAGGGCGAGGCCAGACCCCACCCCTCATTAGTAGTGGGGGAGAAGCCCCTGCACAGCTGGTCAGGGGGCCTCTGGCAGCCTCCCTCCAAAAACAGGTAAGCTGGGCCCATCACCGACCCCTGCCCAAGTCAGCATCTCAACTTCCCAAAACCACGCCCCTTTTCAGTTTCATTCTGCCCTCACCTCCACGGGTGTCCTCCCCTCCTTTTCTTTCAGCATTCGTACCTCGATCCCTGTGTCTCTATATATCTCCAATTGTCAAGAAGATTTTGCTAATAAACTCTTGAAATTATTGTGATAAAATAATAAACTTTTTTTCAAAATTGAAAGTTAAATTTCCATATCAAATGTACTTTTAAAAAACAGAACATATCCCTCCCCTGGGAATTGTTACACCCAGTATGTGCACATTCCTTGGTGTTTCTGAGTGGGCAGTTACTCCCTAGAAGTTGAAGAGTGTAGGCTCTGAAGTATGAGAGACGTGGCTTTGACCCCCAGATTTACTTGACTCTCTACTTGGCTTCTTTGCACTTTGTTCTCGTGTTTGTAAACTGGAGAAGGTGCCGCCTCCGGCCCACAGGCTTGGTGTGAAGACACCTACGAGCCCGTCCTGCAAGCACAAGGTCTGGTGGTGCCTGGCGCACAGTAACTCTCAAACCCTCCTGGCGGTTATCCTCACCTTCCTCATCTCTGGGGCCGGGGTTCTCACCACCTCCACACACCCCACAGGGCCGTCCCATGCACAGGACCCTCACCTCCTCTGAGAACGTCTGCAGCTGGTCCTTAGAATAGACGTATTGCCAGATGCGCTCCATGTCATTCCAATCCTTGACAATGCCGTGCTCCATGGGGTACCGGATGGAGAGCAGCCCTCGGTGCTCCTGGGGACAGAGAGCAGGATTTACAGTAGCAGCCAGGCTCTCAGCTGAGTTGGCCGGTGGGTCCTGCTCTTCCAGGACTGGGAGTTCCCACCCTGCAGTTCTCACCCTGCAGAGAGTCAAGTAAATCTGAGCACGGGCACCCATTTATTCTCTAAGTCTCCCACTGCACAACTGTAAACTGTTCTCACTGCCCAATCAGCAAGCAAAGGAGAGGGCTTCTGCATTTCCAGGGACCCTTGGCTGCCCCTAGGGCAAGTGACAGGAGACATCCTCTTCGTTGCCTGATCCCAGGACACTCCTGGCTCCCATCTCTGGGCCTCAGCGCTGGGAGCAGAGACTGGCAGCTGTGGTTCTGTTGTTCTGCTTCTGGAGGCTGCCTGAAGGCTCTGCCAAAGTGTGTTAATTAACTCATCCTCAGGGGACCCCAGCCAGGCTCTATCTCCAATTCCTTTTGCCAAAAAGTAACCAGGCCCGTGGATCTGATCATTGGCAAAGGAGTGACAGAATACAGAAGGAAGGCAAAAGCCCTGTTTCCCAGGCTGCTCTCCGTTTCCCAAGTCAGGGTTTGAGATTTTCCTCCCCAAACCAGAAGCTGCTCCTGGGAGCAGTAACTGATGAGGCCGAGGATGACAGAGCCAAAGGGGACATTTTAGGAGGAAACCGCGCCTTTCAGTCATGACTATGCCCCACTGCTGGGACCCTGCCCACGGGAGAAATGAAGAAGGTCTTCTGTTGGCTTGGGGACTGGGAGTTACCTCAGCTTTGGGGCCAATGAAGATGTCACCTTCAAGGGCTCCTGCCATGACACGAACGTGCTTGGGTCTGCCCACACTACAAGAGAGAGTGGGGAAAGGAGGGAGAAGGAGGGGGGGAGGAACATTGATGTGAGAGAGAAACATCAGTCGGTTGCCCCTCACACGCCCCCAACCAAGGGACCTGGCCCGCAACCCAGGCATGTGCCCTGACTGGGAACCGAACCAGCAAACTGGCAACCCTTCAGTTTGCAGGCCGGAGCTCAGTCCACTGAGCCACACCAGCCAGGGCAGGACTGTCACTTTTCATTTCACAGCTGAACACATGGCAGATCACAGGAAGGATGGAGAGAGGCACGTACTCAGACAGGAAGAAGTGTACTCAGTTCTACTGTGATTGTCCTTAAGGGGTGAGCTTACGGTTGATTTTGATTTTCTTCTACTTTTCAGCATTTCCCACAATTTCTACCACACACATGGACTAAGTTATTCATAATTATTTTTATTATGTTGAACATTTATATTATTTCATAAGTTAAATGAATGGCTAACTCGGAAGACTGTCGTCTCCCCAGCCTGCCGCCCAGGCCTCCCACCAAGTCAGACTGCGCCCCGGCGACCGTAGCAGACGGCCCTCTTTTCCTCCCACGTGCGCTCCTGCCCCAGGTGCCCGTGCCCTTCTCCCACCTGCAGTCTTCCTGCAGTAGGAGGGAAGTGCTGAGAAACTCCTCCTCACTAAGACGGTAGGTGTGGTTTAACAGTCAAACCCCATCCTGGGTGACAGGAGAATCTGAGACGGAGGGCCCCAGGAAGACGCAGTCACTGAAAGCAACGAGTTACCAATGATATGTCTTGGGCATCAGATAAAATCTAATTTTAAAAAGAGGTCTCTTGCCAGTGCCTCTCAGACTGTACCATGTAGGCAACTGTTTCCCTGGCTTCCTCCAAAAGCCAGCTCTTGTCCTTCGCCTGTTGTTTTGAGTACCAAGGCTGCCCCGAATGCCAGGTCCCTTCTCCCTAAAAGATGGGGGACTGACCCCGAGCAAAGCTGACCAACTTCTCAAGCTTCCATGCTACACACTGACTTACTAGTTTGGAAAGCAGTATTTGGGGATCTGATCACCAGCAAACCCAGCTTTAATCACACCGGATCCCTGAGGAGAGATAAACAAAAGTCAGAAGCATCACAACAAGAGGAGATGTATATCACATAATAACTAAATGGTTCCATTTTTATTTTAAAAAGAGAGAGACTATAGAGCTGTCTATAATATATCTACTGATACGAGGTCTGTCAGGAGGCATCCAGCCATGTACTATGAAAAATAGAGACATTTATTGAAGAAGATACGGGATACCAGAAACACTGTACACAGGACAATGACACCTCAGTCCCCTTCAAAGTAGGCACCTTGGGACCTCACACAGTTCTCCCAATCATCATCAGCTGCCCTGCTGTATTTTCCTGAATCTCACTGACAGTCTGAACTCTCTCCCCTTTCAAAGGTGATTTTAGTTTTGGGAAAAGCCAAAAGTCACAGGGTGCCAAATCTGGGCTGTAGGGGGGCTGAGTCACCTGGGTGATTTGCTGTTTTGCCAAAAATCTCTGCACAATACATGATGCATGAGAAGCTGCCAATCACCAGTTGCCCATAGCTGTGGCCTTCTAAATCATCTGAACAGTTTCCACCAAAGAATGTTCAAGCTTAATGCAAAATCTGATGCAGATTCGTTGCTCTATTCGCTCAATCATTTTGAATGTGACAGCCACACAGTACACATGCTCACTCGGTTGCCCCCACTGACTAGTTCAGTGAAGTCATCATTGTTCATGCGTGTGCATTCCAGCCCACTCTCCTTGGCTGCCAGGTTACTTCGATGTCGTGCAAACCATTCTTGTTGCACTAACAAAGGCTGGACTTTTCCCACGGATCTGGTATGAGCATTTGTAGAGTGAATGCAGGCCAAAGGGAAGGTAGTGGGACTGGAGAGAATGAGGAGAAATTTCACTGTACACTCCAGGTGTTACTTTGTTTTTCTGTATTCTTTGACTTTTCTACATTGAACATGTTTTACTTTTGGTGTTAAAAATATTAATAAAGGGAATAAAAGGAGAAAAGCTGAGGAGAGAAGAGGAAAGTAGCTAGAAGCTCCAAAGCAGCCACGTTCAGGAACACAACCCAGCCATGGGAAGAGCACATGACACGGTCATACCGCTGTGGGATGCCTGCACTCTCCCGGTCCCCCAGGGCGCATGTCACAGACCCCACCACAAGCACTTCCGTGGAATGCACGCTGTCTGGTTCTTACTGCAGGGGCAGACCACTCTGCTTTGTAGGGGGTTTGTAATTATTATTATTATTATTATTATTATTATTATTATTATTATTATTATTTACCATGCTTTGTTGGTCTCCTAATTATCGATAAAGAGCAGGGAAACCCTAAAGCATTGTCTGAGAAGAGAAAAGACCCAGGATTACAATCCTGCTGCTCCAGTCCCTGGTATATTGGCCAGGCTCAGGCTGGTATCAGAGATGCTGACGGGAGCAGTCAGATGCTTTTCAGTCAACACTGACTCCCACACACACAGATGCCAACTCCACGCAGGGCAGCTGTCGCAGCTTGACATTGCTTGCAGATACATCCCATTTTCTTCCTTCTTAACTCTTTCACCACCACAGCTGATACCCTTGTCCTTCCAGCCCAGCACAGCTTGCAGCTAACTGGGGCAAGCCTTTTCCAGCTGCCTGTCAACCATTTCTCCTGGGGGAGAGTGCGGTATTTCCAGAACCCCCACAGCAAGCGGTAAACACATTAGGAAACGATAAATAGACAAGGCTATCTTTGCACCAAAGGCTTCCCAGCAACACCCCTGGCTCCCTCCCTGTCTCTCATTCTTGCTCTCCTATGGGAGAAGGGGTTGAGAGGGGCCATCCTGGTGCCTGGCTCTGGCAACACAGGAAGTAAGTAAGTGGCTGAAGGGCAGAGAAAGCAGTAAGTTGAGCAGGGCAAGCCTGTTCTCTAAGACAGCAGATACCTCTGCCAACAGGAAAGAGAGAAAACAGAAGGTAAGTGCAAACTCATCGGCCTGGGCAGAAGAGCAAGAGGCCTGGAAAAGGTGCAGCTGGACACTGAGCATGAAGGGAGAACTGGCCCAGGGGCTCTGGGACAGCGGCAGCGACAGTGAGAACCACACTGTGCAAGAGAACTCCAGGAGCCTGTTAGCTCCAGCCTCCTTATAATTGCTCACTGCCTTCACCTGGGTGTGGTGAGGCCAACAGACTCCCTGGATCTCCTGGCAGAGGTTGAAACAAAAAGAGTAAAGATGAGACCTGTACTCCAGATTCTAAATATTTTAAAATTATTTCCCTCAATATTTAATTTTGAGTTTATTAGCAAAAGGACTGGAAGGACTGGAGTCCGAGTGACAAGGCAGATTAAAGTGTCAGGTTCATTTCTTCCTCTCTGTCCTTCCTGGCAAGGCCGTAACAGGCCCACTTCAATATCGCTGCCTTCCTCCCGAAGAATAGTCCCCAGATGGAATTAATTATCCTTCCCCTATTATCTCATAAAATCACTATTACCTATACCATGAGGCAGAATGCATTTCATTCTGCTTTCTATCTGACTCTATGGTTTCCATTTTTTCCCCTCTTTTTAGCCCAAGTTCCTCAAGGACAGAGACTTTATACATCAGCAGTATCTGGTGTTGGTAGGGTACTCAGATAGATGCTGGCTGACTAAAGTGAAAATTAAGCTCAAGTGACTGGCAGATGATTTCTAATGTATTGAACCTGAATGAGCAGCTGGACTGCCAGAAGCCCCAGGCAGAGGTGGTGCAGACAAGGCCAAGGCAGTGTTGGGAATGACGCACAAACCCCAGGAACCAGACCCAGCCTGTCCCGCAGCCTCACGGAGCTGGCTCACAGGGCCAGCAGTTAGGTGAAGAATGGGTGGTGACCAGGGAGGCAGTTTCTTCTCTCTGTGTTGCCAGAGTCAGGCACCAGGATGGCCTCTCTGTTCTGCTCAAGTCATACCATGAGATCATATAAAAAGGTAATGTCGATTCCTTTAACAGTATTTTAACTAGGAACTGTGTACCAGGCAAATGGGCTGCCACTCTCTTGTTATTCACTCAGGCAAAACCAAGTAAACACATACCTTGTACAGGCTTCTTAAAAAAGTAGTCTCATTAAATATTTGAGTTTTGAGGACTCAAATTTGCTGCCAGCCACCTCTGACCATTCATTCTTCTACTGTAGGCAAACAAATAGCAAACTCCTTAGGCAAGGCTCTCCTGGGCCTACTGGCTATAGGCCTATGGTTTGGGTGACCTTTATCCAAAACACTCCTGACCATTCTGGACAGGCTGGGAAGGAAGCTAATTATTTCCCATTTTATTGACTGATTTTTTTTTTTTTGAGAGAGACAGACAGACAAAGCAAGAGAGATTTGTTGTTCCACTTATTTATGGATTCACTGGTTGTTTCTTGTATGTGCCCTGTCCCGGGATCAAACCCGCAGCCTTGGCATATGGGGACGACGCTCTAACTTAGTTACCCAGCCTCTCCCATCAAGGAAAAGGATGCTGAGAGGTGGCGCCTCAAATTTAAGGTCATTGGTGGCTCATTTTGCCCCAAAGACATACTATCTTTGGCCCACAGGGTACTCTTTTAAAAACAACTTCATTAAGATAAAATTCACTTTATCCACTTAAGGAGTATAATTCGATGATTCTTAGTATATAATTTTCTAACTTTTTCATTATCCCAAAAGAAACTCTGTACCTATTAGCTGCCACTCCCCTCCCCTGACTCCCAGCCCTGGGCAATCACATATCTACTTTCTGTATCTACAGACCTGCAAACAACCTTCACACTAATTTATGGCAGTTAAAAATTGGAGCTGCATAAGAAATTTAGAACTTCTGACTTCTCTTGAATAATCAGATCTGGTAATATTGGGCCTGCATTCCTGCATGGGGGCCTCTGGCAGGACTGAGAAGCAGCTGGCCCTTTGGTCAGGCATGTGCAGTACGCCCTCCCGATTCCTCCCCCCATTTTTAAGGCTGCTCTCCTCCTCACCCTTTGTAATGCTCCTGCTGGGCCTCAGCAGGCACTGAGTTTAAGACCCCTATTCTAGGCATTCCCAGAAAGTAACTCATGATATTTCTCCTTCCGCATCATATCTGACTTCTTGCTTACCCTCAGAGTGCCTGGCTAGGTGTGAAGCACATCCTGGGTGTCAGAATACACATAATTGAATGGTGAGATATCCCTACAAGGTACCTCCTCTCCACCCTTTCAGTCAAGTGAGGGATAGATTCTGGCTGAAGTTGTACAACCAACAGCTTTAATGTCACACTGAAAGTGACTGCGTTAAGTAAATCCACTGTCTTGATTTCTTCGGTTACTTCTTAAGTGAATCAGCAGATCTGAAGAGCTGATTACAAGTAGTAAAACAAAAAATTGAGATAATTTGTGAAATTTGAACATTGACTGGATATTTGATGACAGTAAGGAATTGTTAATGTATTAGGCTTGGTAATAGTATATTATGGTTTTTTTTAGATTTTATTTATTTATCTTTAGAGGGGAAGGGAAGGAGAGAGGGAGAGAAACATCAATGTATGGTTGCCTCTTGTGCATCTCCTGCTGGGAACTGGCCTGGAACCCAGGCATGTGCCCTGACTGGGAATCAAACCCTGATCCTTTGGTTCGCAGGCACGCGCTCAATCCACTGAGTTACATCAGCCAGGGCTGGTAATAGTATATTATGTTTTAAGAGTGTGAGAGACAGAAGTAGGTGGGAATGTAATAGTTAAAAAGACTGGCCAAGAGTTGATAACTGTTATAGTCAGGTGATTATTAGGATATGGCTATGGTTTATATTATTCCTTCTCCTTTTGTTTACGTTTGAAATTTTCTATAATAAAAAGAAGAACTCTGGGCTGGTGTGGCTCAGTGGATTGAGCATGGCCTGTGAACCGAAAAGTCACTGGTTCGATTCCCAGTCAGGGCACATGCCTGGGTTGCAGGCCAGGTCTTCAGTTGGGGGCATGTGAGAGGCAACCAATCTATGTACAATCTTGTACAAGGATGTTTATTTCCCTTTCTTTCTTCCTTCCCCTCTCTCTAAAAATAAATTAATACAATCTTTAAAATAAAAGAACTAGCAAATAACATGTTAGCACTTAAGTGAAAATTCAAAACACAAATACTACACACACACACACACCCCTAATATAAAGTCATAGATGGAAAGGAGTATGTCCATTTTATGATTATAGTTGCTTTTAGGGTTACTTCTGGAACCGAAGGAAAGGATAAGATTGTGAAGGAATATGAAGAGCTTTCAATTACATCGGTAATATTTTATTTCCTAAAAATAAAATCTGAAGCAAATATGGCAAATGTCAACATTCATTAAATCTGGTGGGAGATACATGCTACATGGGTGCTCACTGTATACTTCTCGGAATTTTTCTTTGTTTAACGTATCTCATTTTTTAAAGAGGGGCCGAGGCAGCACAACATAGGAGGGAACAGTGAAACTCTTATCCTACTGATGAGCTTGTGAGGATCTGATACTGTTTCTGCATTTAGGCCCGCACAGTCACAAAGGCGCTTTTAAGATCGACCAGAATGCTGGTCTGTTTTAGGGCAGAACCCAACAGTGATCTAATCAAAGTGTTGAAGTCCTCAAAATGGTGCCTGGGAGCTTCCCTCCTCTTGTATTACTATTGTATTGTTTTGTACTGTACTGCATGCCTGCCTTTAGTTTAGTTTTCAAAAATACCTATCACTTATTGCTGTCATTCAAGTACAGGAATATACATGCCCCCCCCCCCATACACACCCCCTCCATTTTCTTCATTAAATTCGGATGAATAGGTTTGGTGTCGGAACAGGATGACGAGAGTGGTCAACAATTGTCTAATACTGGGAAAGACTGTGAACAGATAATTAGGCTCTTCCCTCTTTTGTTCTCCTTTCTTTTAATTACACCCTTGTTAGCCCAGAAATAAAATGGTAACAACCCATTAAGCTGTGGAGCTGTTAAATCTGCTACAGACACATTATTCTCATAAAGTTGGCTCCCATATTTCAAATAATGTTTCCTATCCATCCTTCACTGTGAAACAAAACTCTCCAAATGTCAGACGGCAAGATGTTGCAGATGCTCCATAAATCCTAATGAGAAAATTATTTAAGTTTCTCCTACTTCACTTTTTGGCAGAATTATCTGGCATCATAAAGAAAATATTTTCCCAGAGGGAAAAAAAAAAACAAGTCAATTCCTTAAATCTTAAAACTAAAAATGGACCACTGCTTTAATGCATTTCAAATATACTTCCAAGAAAGAGAAAGAAGAAACTAAGAAGCGTTATTAGGCTTAGTGACATTCAAGAAAATGGCTGGAAATGGAACTTCTGGCCAACAATTCAAGAAACAAAGGATCTGGATGGACAGACTGCTGCTTCTGCATTGCTGATGAAAAAAGAGGAAATTGCCAATTTCTATTTTTTCCCCATTTTATTTTTTAAATGTTTACTTATTTATTTTTAGAAAGAGGGGGAGGGAGGGAGAAAGAGGGAGAGAAACATCGATGTGCAAGAGAAACACTGATCAGTTGCCTCTTGCACACCCCCAACTGGGGACCTGGTCTGCAACTCAGGGGTGTGCCCTGACTGGGAATAGAACTGGCAACCTTTCCGTTTGAAGGCCAGCGCTCTAACCACTGGGCACCTGAGCCGGGGATCCCACTTTAAAACTATGAAAAAGGCAGATGAAGCATATACAAACTAGGTGAAGACAGAAAAGAGTAGGTTTTCTGAAAATCAACATCAAGAACAAGTCCTACTCAACCCTCTGAAGTAACTAAGGGGCCCCTCCATCTTTTCTCTATTTAGGGATATCTTTGTTACTGTGATAGAGATACTCAATCATTTGTCTACCCATTCATCAATGAAATGAAAAGAACAAACTCCCCCAAACATTTATTGAATACTAAGTGATGCCAGGCCCTAAGTATTCTTTGTGTGAAGGGAGGTGGGGAAGAGGAGAGTAATGGAAATTAAGGAATACCATCTTTTTCCACAAGAATTTAATAGTCTAGTAAGTGAGACCCCCCCCCCCAAATAGAGGTGTCTCAAAATAGCTTCTGCTTCCGAGGCAGAAGCCATATTCCTAAAAAAAAAAAAGGAAAGCTAACAACAACAAAAGCACCTTTTCTTGAGAAAAGTGAAGAATTTGGAACCAATCTCAACTTGAGTCCTGGCTCAACTCACAATCTTCGTGGTCTGAATATTGTAATTTAACCTCCCCAGGCCTCATTTTCCTGCATAAATTGGGGATAGTCATTCCCATTTACCAAACAGAGTTTAAGGCTAAATGGGACAATGCACCACGCCTAACATCCCAAGAGCTGGATCAACAAAGCAAATCTGAGAGTTTAGGACAGAGGGAATTAACAGTTTTGCCGCAAGAGATTTAGAAGGGGCACAGAAAATGTATCAACCAATCTCGAAGGGACTAAACCTTCGAGTGGAAGGCAGAAATTCAGTTGTTTTACAATTGTCTCTCTCCGCCCCAAATAAGAACAGTATTTATAGTTTTTCCGTTTGTCACTATTTACACATTTTCGTGGGGTATTAGCAAGAGGAATAACGGATACAGCACTGGATTTAGAGCACCTCTATTGTGCAACCTTGGGCTCACTTTACCTTTTTGGGTTTCAGTTTCCTCATTTGTAAAACGACAGTCAAGCTTCCTGCTTAAACCACCCACCCAGTTTTTGTAAGGATCCAACTCAAAAGTATGTGAAACCCCTCTGCAACGGCTAGAGAGCCCGGTAAATACTACGTTAGTAATTATTTTTCACCAGCAACTAGGAGTCCCTGCTTGCTTTGTCACTCTCCTTTATTCTCGACCTTTATTAATGCTGTAATTTATAATTACAGAAATACATGAAATCCTGTATTCATTTCTGGTACCAGGTTCTCGGGCCCCACCCAGAGAGATACACAGCCAAGCCGCCCGGGTAGCTCAGAACCTAAGTAAACTTAGCTCTTCTCCACCCGCGGGCAGGCTCTAGCTCATCAGGCTCAACCACCGAGAGTTCTGGAAGCCAATCCCCAGGGCCCTGGCGCACCGCCCCTTAAAGAGAAGAAACACTTATAGCGACCCGGAAAACCCGCTGGAACGCAAGCCAATCACTGCAGAGGGCAGCCCACATCCGGCAAGGCTCAGAGGCGGGGTCATCAGTCAAGAGAGACAGCCAGAAGAGCCAATTGAATCAACGGAAACTGGGGAAGGGCGGGTGCCCGGAGCTCACAGAGCGGTTAAGGCCCCTTAAGCGACCGGCCAAAGGGCCCGGCTTGGACTATAAATCTTCCCTTTATTCATCCCAAAGCTCTCAATCCCATGGTTGCTGACTGGCCGCCCTGCTTGCGGACTATGGGTGAGAGGAGGACAGAGACAGCGGCGGCTGAACCTGTATGACAGGCCAGGGCAGTGACAAAGAGAGGGAGGCCCAGGCTGAAGCCGGGAAGCGATTCCTTCAGGGAAAAGAGCATAAGGCCCTTTAGAGATAGGAGAGATGCAACTCACGTTGTCGATCACAACAGGCTGGTTGGCGATCACATCGTAAGACTCCATGGCAGAGGAATCTCTCCTTCCAAGGAAGGAACTGCCTGACCGGTCCGCAGCAAGCGCCTCTGACACGCATGCGCAGACTATCCGCCGGTACAGGACAGTATGGGAGCGGCCTGACCTCGCCTCCGAAAAACTACAACTCCCAGCAGGCCTTGCACCTGTATTAGGGGGCCGAACTGCTTCAGAGCCTCGCCTAGTTCTTAAAGAGACCGGGCGTTGCGTTTTTGACGCACAGTATCCTGGGTTTTGTAGTTTCCATGTAAGTAGGGTCCCAGATTGATAGTTGTATTGCATCTGTAGCCCCTTATGGATTCGCAGAGATATTGAAGTCTTTGCTGTAGTAAGTTTTGGATTTGCCAGTAATTCGTGGATGTTGGATTTTACAGATCAGTCCTGCCGCTCCCCATCACTTCTGGACAAATTAAGGTGACCATGTTTTTACTTGATTCCGTAAGACATTGATAAACATCTATCACCATCACACTCTAATAAAACTTTTAATACACACAGAAACGGGAAAGGATGTCTTACAACAACAAAGAAAATAACTTAAATTGCATAAAATTTACCTTTTAGGAAAAAAGTACATTTTCTATGCTTTTTGCATTTTTCCCCCCATAGGTGTAAACTTTGCAAGAGGCTGACTAACATTTGATGACTGGCATTTGGAACTACTGGTATAGAATTGACAAGTGGGAAAATAGAGGTGAAGAGAGGTTATGTGACTGCTTTCAAATGAGCTCAGTGCATTTACCTATAGAGTATTTCCTCCCTGCTTCAAGTAACAGGAATCCTTTTAGTCAATAGCACTAGTAGTCAGGACTCCCTTCTATCCCTGTCTCTTGGAATTTGTTTAAGATAATTGATGGACATTACTTTTTTAAAAATTTGTTTATTTATAATTTTTTCAATTTTTAAAAATATTTTAGTTCCTTATTTTTAGAGAGAAGGAAAGGGAGGGAGAAAGAGAGGGAGAGAAACATCACTGTATGGTTGCCTGTCATGTGTCCCCTACTAGGGACCAGATTTACAACCCAGGCATGTGTCCTGCCTGGGAATCAAACCCCTGATTCTTTGGTTCGCAGGCCCAGGCTCAATCCACTGAGCTACACCAGCCACGGCAACGACATTACTTTTTGAAGAATTATTGTAAACAGGAAAATAATTCCCAACCTGGTGCCTTAGGAGTTAAAAATTCTCCCCATTAAGAGAGTTAAGGTAATGCAGAAGGGCAGGCTCATAGCAGATAATGAATACTGGTGTTCCTCAAGGCAAACTGCATACATCTGCCTAAAACGCAACAAAGAAGAGATCATCATCGCTAAAAACATTTACTAAATAATTATTGAGTTTAAAAAAGTTGATCCTAGTTTACTTCATTCTTGTTATTTTCTGAAGGAACTCCAAAATAAGTATTTCGACATATGACCCCTGAATTTGGCGGTGTGTCAGTTAATGAACATTCACGGACACAGGAAATATTCAGACTTATAATCTATTAAAACTAATGCTACACGGACGAATGAATCAATTCATTGCCAGTTATGTTTAAATACTTGTTAAAAACCTCCGTGTGCCCTGGCTGGTGTGACTCAGTGAATTGAATGCCGGCCTGCGAACCAAAGGGTCCCCGGTTCAATTTCCAGTCAGGGCACATGCCTGGTTTGCAGGCCAGGTCCCCATTGTGGGGTGCACAAGAGGCAACCACACACTGATGTTTCCCTCCCTCTCTTTCTCTCTTCCTCCCCTTCTCTATAAAAATAAAATAAAATCTTTTAAAAAAACCCTCCGTGTCAGCAAACCAGTGACAAGTCCTTTGCCAACTGTCCGGTGCTTTCGTGGGACCCTAGCACCTTAGAAGGATGCCTCCACCTCTCTATTTAAAACTGGGTTCCTTCTAACACTAGGGGGAGACCAAGAGCCTTGGGACACCTCCCACACCGAGAGGAGAGGCGGAATCTATTGCCAAGGCACCCCACCTCTGTGACTGACACAGACACTAGCCAGTAGAATCTGGGATAGGGCGCGCCGGTGCCCCGCCCCCTTGAGCGCCCCGCGGCCCCCAAGGCACCCTCTGGCCTGCTCTGCGGCTGTGAAGGCCTGGGCGGACGGTTTGGTGTGCGCAGGCGCGAAGCCTGGACCTCGCTGCAGCCCCCATCGCTTCGGGTAGTCGCACCTACGGCGTCCGCCCGCTGGCGCGTCAGTGCTCTCCCGCTCGTCCGCCCTCCTGAGTCCTCCCAGCGCCCAACACGCCGGGATGGCGGAGCTGCGGCCTAGCGGCGCCCCCGGCCCCACCGCGCCCCCGGCCCCTGGCCCTACTGCCCCGCCGGCCTTCGCCTCGCTCTTTCCCCCGGGGTTGCACGCCATCTACGGCGAGTGCCGCCGCCTTTACCCTGACCAGCCGAATCCACTCCAGGTTACAGCTATCGTCAAATACTGGTATGCCCTGGGCCGGGAGAAGACCGACGCGGCGGGCTGGGAAGAGTTTAAGCACCGGGGGCGAAGTAATTTGCGGGGGAGGAGAAGGAGAATGGTTAAAGCACTTGGAAGGAGGGCTTCCTGCTGCGAGGGAAGGAGTTAAGGCTCAAGTTGGGAATGGGGACAAAGGGGTTAACGGAGCCTGTGAGTTGCGAAGGATTAACGAGGGTGGGGAGGTGTTGAAGGGTTAACTGGGATTAGGAAAATAGAGTGAATTGGGGGGCTGTGTAGGAGCCAAGCGGAGATCGATAGGAGAGAGGGAACTGTAAACGTGGTGAAAGGAGGGGGCGCCTGTAGGGGGTCATTATTGGGCGAGGGGAAGCTGGAGGGGGAGACGAGGCGGAGCCTGGGGAGCATTTTGAGAGGGCTTTGGAGGAGCGCGGCTGGAGGAGTTCCGAGGGCACAAGACAGCCCTGGGCAGGGGCGGGTCTGGGGACCCAGGCTCCACTGTAGGTTGGGAAGGGAGCAAGTTGTGAGTGTCCTGCTTGTGATGAGGAGGAGGTCGCCTTCTGATGCTTTCCTAATGAGCTCAGACATCATATCGGTCCACTGCTTTTTGTGTTCAAATTTCACGAAACAACTTTTCCTGATAAACTTTCTGCTTACTCTGCACAGTGTTCTTCATGCAGAGCTGCCTCTAGCTCTGCAGCTGCTTTGCTGTAAAGACACTGACTAGAACAGAGGTAGGGTCACGGAGACCCATGGTTTGGCTGAGGATGGAAGGACCACAGTTAATGCTGAAGACCTGGGGACTTGAATAGGGTGGAAGGAAAGCAGTGAGATGTTGAGCTTCCTGCCACAAGCTTTAGGATTTAGGCAACAGTTTCTCAGGGAAGCTGAGCGTGACCTTTAAGTAGTTCTCTAAGGATGGGACCTGTTTACCGATGGGCTGCTCTTGGGGTAGGAATGGTCTTCTTTAGATTCCCATTCCCGTTTGCAGCCTGTTTCTTCTGCAGCTTCTGGGCAAAATTGGTGTTATGGCAACTGTGGAAAAGAGCCTATCTTCGTGGTCTTTCTGGACCAAATGTTGGCTGAGGAATTGGTTGCATCTGTCCAGAGCCACGTTCTTGTGGGCACTGTGTTAAGATGCTTCCTTCACTGAGTCCTGGAAGATGGTTCAGACAGCTGCTTGGGGTGTGGCGGAAGGGCAGGTAGGCCTGAAGGGGGACATGAGAGGCTGTCTTTGCTGGTTACCTCTCCCTTTAGGACTGAGTCTCTCCTCCAGAAATGGCAGAATCTAGGATCTATAGGACTGAGACCAGCTCCTTGTATCTATGGGAGGATGTGGAGGCTGACAATGTGAAGGGCCTGGAGACCAGCCACCTGCTCCTTAGGGAGGGCCATGGGGAGCAGCCTGACTCTGGCTGGTAGCAAGGAGGAGGTATAGCCAGTGGTCCAGTCCTCTCTGGTAAGCAAGCTGTTCTTTGGTTGAAAGGAGTTTTTGAAGAGAACTTCTGAGTGAAAAGCAGCTCTTGATAACTTAATCCCCATTCTAATTGCGCCTCTATATTTAAATATGTATTGTGATGAGCTCTATTGGATTGTGTCATGAGAAAAGCGGGCCTGGCTCTGCCATGCTGTTTATTCAGGTCTCAAATTGAGTATAAGGAGAAATTTCTGTATAGACTTGGGCAACTGTTTTTGTTACCAAGTGGCCACGGAGGATGGAGTTGTGTGTGAAAGGTATTGAAGCACATGCAAGGGACTAAGACTGGCTTGGGCAACTCTTTTTTTCCCTCCTGCTGCAAACTTGTTAAGCCAGGCAGGACTTATCTTCAGAGATGGACTAACATGTAGTGATGAATAAAGACAATGGCACAGAACTCTGTGGGGTTAGAAATGCTACATAGATGCAGAAAAATATAAGTGTGAATAGCCCAGCAACTGGTTCTTTCTAAGATTTAAAGGATTTTGCATGAGGAAGGTCCTGAAATTAATTCATCCATGTCCCTCACATTTGGGGTTCCACAAGACCTGTTCAGTTCTCATAGCCGGCTGACCAAGGCTGCCTAGGTCTAGCTGTGGTGCAAGGTACCTTGGGATTCCTTTTCTGGGGACACAAGGTGGCTTTTTGGCTAGTGGACCCTGGTCAACAAGGACATGCTGACCGAAAGCTGAGACTTAAGTGACCAGGGAGCAGAAGCAGAGAGGCAGAGCCTGTGCTTTGGGTCCACCCCACTCCTGCAACTATTGTGGGGAGTGAAGTGCAGTGTTCAAGGAATTAAGTTGAGGGATGCCCTGGGTCCTTGGATGACATCATTTTCCAAGTGCAAAATATGAAAAATTTCTATAGACTCATCTGCTTTCTGTCAGGTCTTTGAGTAAATAAAGCAGAATTCTCTGTGCTCAAGGGTGAGGCTCATTCAGTCTGACTCTTGGTTGGCCCCTGCAATCAGAGTTTTAAGGTTAAGAAGTCTCTCTCCTTGATGCAGTACTTCCTGGGAGACTTGGCCAGGAAGAGGGCTGCAGTGGAGTGGCAGGTGTAGCACGGAACGGTGGATGCAATTTTGCCTCTTGGTGCTGGGTGGACTGAGGCTGAAGGAGGGGACTAGGAATTTGCAGTGGGACACTGGAGCAGACATGGAGCCTGTACTCACTACCA